AACGTATTTCTATTTTTTGGAATATACAGTATCTCACAAAAGTGAGTACACCCCTCACATTTTTGTAAATATTTTATTATATATTTCATGTGACAACACTGAAGAAGTGACACTCTGCTACAATGTAAAGTAGTACACCCCTAAGTAGAAATGTCCAAATTGGGCCCAATGTGTCAATTTTTTGTGTGGCCACCATTATTTTCGAGTACTGCCTTAACACTCATGGGTAGGGAGTTCACCAAAGCTTCACAGGTTGCCACTGGAGTCCTCTTCCACTCCTCCATGACAACATCACGGAGCTGGTGGATGTTAAAGACCTTGCACTCCCCCACCTTCCATTTCAAGATGCCCCATAGATGCTCAATAGGGTTTAGGTCTGGAGACATGCTTGGCCAGTCCATCACCTTTAACTTCAGCTTCTTTAGCAAGGCAGTGGTCGTCTTGGAGGTGTGTTTGGGGTTGTTATCATGTTGGAATACTGCCCTGTGGCCCAGTCTCTGAAGGGAGGGGATCATGCTCTGCTTCAGTATGTCACAGTACATGTTGGCATTCATGGTTCCCTCAATGAACTGTAGTCCCCCAGTGCCGGCAGCATTCATGCAAGACCAGACCATGACACTCCCACTACCATACTTGACTGTAGGCAAGACACACTTGTCTTTGTACTCCTCACCTGGTTTCCGCCACACACGCTTGACACCACTTGAACCAAATAAGTTTATCCTGGTCTCATTGGACCACAGGACATGGCTCCAGTAATCTATGTCCTTAGTCTGCTTGTCTTCAGCAAACTGTTTGCGGGCTTTCTTGTGCATTATCTTTAGAAGAGGCTTCCTTCTAGGACAACAGCCATGCAGACCAATTTGATGCAGTGTGTGACGTATGGTCTGAGCACTGACAGACTGACCCCCCACCCCTTCAACCTCTGCAACTATGCTGGCAGCACTTATACGTCTATTTCCCAAAGACAACCTCTGGATATGACGCTGAGCACGTGCACTCAACTTCTTTGGTCGATCATGGCGAGGCCTGTTCTGAGTGGAACCTGTCCTGTGAAACTGCTGTATGTTCTTGCCCACCCTGCTTGGCAATCTTCTTATAGCCTAGGCCATCTTCATGTAGAGCAACAATTCTTTTTTTCAGATCCTCAGAGAGTTCTTTGCCATGATGTGCCATGTTGAACTTCCAGTGACCAGTATGAGAGAGTGTGAGAGCGATAACATCAAATTTAACACACCTGCTCCCTATTCACACCTGAGACCTTGTAACACTAACAAGTCACATGACACTGGGGAGGGGAAATGGCTAATTTGGCCTTATTTGGACATTTCCACTTAGGGGTGTACTCACTTTTGTTGCCAACGATTTAGACATTAATGGCTGTGTGTTGAGTTATTTTGAGGGGACAGCAAATTTACACTGTTATACAGGATGTACACTTACCACTTTACGTTGTAGCAGAGTGCCATTTCTTTAGTGTTGTCACATAAAAAGATAAAATAAAATATTTACAAAAATGTGAGGTGTGTACTCACTTTTGTGAGATACTGTACATATGTATTCATAATGTTAGAGTGTAATATTAGCTATTTAGATTATTGCCCCCACAGAAGTATAAATAGGTTTACTTAACGTAATTCCCAGAGCACCAGTCTCACTGTGGTCGCAACAGCTCTTCTGCTGAAATCAGCTTTGCTAATGATCTCACCCAATCCATTACTTCCCCATTGGGCTAGTGCCCGTGCCGCTGCACCAATCAGTATCTCCTCATAGAAATGTATTGACTCAATGCATCTCCATGGGGAGCGCTCAGCATCTCCATCTCCATCTTGCTGGACCTCATCCAAGAAGTCGTTCTAATAGCAGTCTGAGTGACAGCCACCAGAATGCACATAATGCCTTTTCTCATAAAAAAAAAGGCATTTATGCTGCTGAGCATGCAGGGGCAATCTATTTGCCTCAGAACCACTACGTTAAGCAGTAGTTGTTCTGGTGCCTAGATCTTTCCTTTAAATATGAAATTCACTTAGAATTCCTGACAATTTTTACTTTACTAGATACCGCTTTAAATATATGCTGGAAATTAAGAAAAAAAAAAACTTAAATGAGAATTATAATAAGGAGTATTAGATGAAGAATAAAAAAGCTTATGCAAACAAGGTAGTCTCCTTCCACAGAGGAACTACTCCAGTCCTGTACATAGCTGGAGCAGACAAGAAAATGTGGACTCCAGACGGACAAAATCTGTATTCTGAGGTGGGCATCGAACAAAATTAAACCAGTGGCAGTAAAGACTTAACGTATCCAAAATATGAAAGTTACAAAAGTATTGGGTATAATAAAAAAAGTTAAAAATTAGAATAAAAGCCTGCCTATAGCACTCAAGTTTTATTTTTATTTTATGACAATGAGGTCATAAAAATATTAACAGCCTTTAAAACATTTGATTAAATTTGCAAATGCTCTGCTGGCACATTGATTGTGTATGTACTCTCCAAATGCTTCAAGCTAACTAGTTTATTTGAAATACACAGAACTCAGGTGACCCAAAATATATTAATTAACTTCTAAGCTCCTAATGCTGTCCGAGCAGAAGGGAATAATTTGTACTTGCCATAAAAAAGTAATAGCTTTTATTTTATTTTTTTTTTACTGTTTTTGAACATTAAAAGTTATATATACTACTGTATTTCTCTATATATCATGTCTGACAAGTCATGATTCCCTTTTATTCCAGAAGTTTGGTCCTTAGGGGGTTAAAGGGACACGATTCAGACCCCTAAAGCACCTTATCTTGCAGAAGTAATTTATGTATGAAGAGTGTGTCCTCTCTATTTCATTTTACAGAAAGTACAGATTTCAATAGAAATTGACACTATTATAAATTATCCTTATCCTTACAGTCTTCTGTCTGTATATAGTATCTCTAAATGTAGACATGTTTGTGTATAAAGTATATTTGTGTGTGTGTATGTTTGTTTATTTGTATCTAATGTTGATGTTTGAATGCAGGGGACCTGTTTGTGTGTAGTGTTGGCATTTAAATCAGAGGTGTGTGTGATGTTGGTGTTTAAATGCAAGTTTTTTTTATGTACTGTTAGTCTATAAGTGCAGCATTGTTCTTGTCTGTAATGTTGACACGTGAATGCAGGGGTGTGTTTGTGTGTAATTTTGGTGATTGAATACAAGTATGTATTCACATATACATATGCACTGACACACACAGACACACATGGACTCAATGCCATACACAGAAACACACATACACTGACACACAGATGCCCACAGACATATATACATAGGAATATACTTTGAGACATATGCACACACACAATTTGACACAGATGCACAGTAATACTGACACATACTGACATACATGCAAGATTCTCATACACAGGTCAACATGTACTGATGCATACACCAACACCCACAAACACTGACACACGTTCAGATGCATAAACTAAAACACATACACTGACACACATGCAGATACATACACTGACACACAGATGCATACACTGAAACATACAGATACACTGACATACACACAGATATATATACTGACATACACGCAGATACATACACTGACACACATGCAGATACACACACTGACATTCAGAGACATACCCAGGGCCGGCGCGTCCATAAGGCGGCACAGGCGGCCGCCTTAGGGCGCACGGGCTCTGGGGGCGCAATATTTCAGTGACCGGCAGGACGGAAGCTCTCCCTCCTGCCAGGCCACCATCTCGACCCCCCGGCGCGGCAGTGCTGTGATCAGGCGCGGCGAGGGAGCTCTAATCTCCACCCTCTGCTCCCTCGCGCGCTGCCTGCTGATGCCGCGGGAGCCGGAATATGACGTCATCAACCCGGCTCCCGCGGCATCAGTAGGCAGCCCGCAAGGGAGCAGAGGGTGGAGATTAGAGCTCCCTCGCCGCGCCTGATCACAGCACTGCCGCACGCCTCCCAGCAGCCCCAGGGACCGATCCATAATCCACACCAGCTCTCCAGGTAGGGAGGCTGGGTGGAAAATATGTATTTATAAAATAATTAGTGAATGCATGTGATGTGTGTCTGTGAGTGACTGTGTGTGTGTGTGTGTCTGTGAGTGACTGTGTGTGTGTGTGTGTCTGTGAGTGACAGTGTGTGTGTCTGTGAGTGACAGTGTGTGTCTGTATGTGTGTGTGTGTCTGTGAGTGACAGTGTGTGTGTGTCTGTGAGTGACTGTGTGTGTGTGTCTGTGAGTGACAGTGTGTGTCTGTGTGTGTGTGTCTGTGAGTGACAGTGTGAGTGACAGTGTGTGTCTGTGAGTGACTGTGTGTGTGTGTCTGTGAGTGACAGTGTGTGTGTCTGTGAGTGACAGTGTGTGTGTGTCTGTGAGTGACAGGGTGTGTGTCTGTGAGTGACTGGGTGTGTGTCTGTGAGTGACTGTGTGTGTCTGTGAGTGACAGTGTGTGTGTCTGTGAGTGTGTGTCTGTGTCTGTGAGTGACAGTGTGTGTGTGTCTGTGAGTGACAGAGTGTGTGTGTCTGTGAGCGACAGTGTGTGTGAGTGACAGTGTGTGTGTGACAATGTGTGTGTCTGTGAGTGACAGTGTGTGTGAGTGACAGAGTGTGTGCGTCTGTGAGTGACAGTGTGTGTGAGTGACAAAGTGTGTACGTCTGTGAGTGACAGTGTGTGTGAGTGACAAAGTGTGTACGTCTGTGAGTGTAAGTGACAAAGTGTGTGTAAGTGACAAAGTGTGTGTAAGTGACAAAGTGTGTGTGTCTGTGAGTGACAGTGTGTGTGTCTGTGAGTGATTGTATGAGTGTGTGTGCGAGTGTATGAGTGTGTGTCTGTCAAATCAGTGAGAGTATGTTTGTCATTGAGTCTGTGTGTGACTATCAGTGTGTCTGTCAATGAGTGTCAATCAGTGTGGGTCTGTCAGTGTCAATGAATGAGTGTGTGTCAGATCAATGAGTCTGTGTCTGTCAGTGGCGTCTGTGTGTTTGTCATTGAGTGTGTGACTGTCAGTGTGTACAGAGTGTAGTGGAGCAGAGCGCGGTACAGGAGCTTCTGTTTCCTGTACCTGGCCAGACTGACAGGAGGTGCTCACAGAGAGAGCACTCCCTGTCAGTCCGGCCGGGTACAGAAAACTGAAGCTCCTTTAGGGGATCTGCTCCACTCGGCAATACAACAATAGAGGTAGGAGGCACACCAGGAAGGGGAGTGTGACCACTAAAGGGGTGTGGGGTGCACCAAGGGACAGGGAGGGAATGGGAGAGAAACACCAAGAGACAGGGAAAAGAGGGGGGAGGGGAGAAGAACACTAAGGGGAAGGGAAGGGACTACTAATGGTCAGGGAGGGGAGAGGGGCTGGTTAAGAGGCACATAGGTGAAGATGTTTTTTTTCGGGGGGGGTGCGGGGGGGCGGAAAAAGGCATCTTCGCCTATGTACCTAAAAATCCAAGCACCGGCCCTGGACATACCCTGACATAGACACAAAAACACACTTACATACACACAGATGCATACACTGACACATGCATAGACATGCACTGACACATGTGGAATTTTTCCAGATTAGTTATTTCCAATTCAGATTTAATTTGTGAAAATGCCAAATTATTTAATCCACATTATTTCCCTGGTCACTTCTTCCTCCTTTCAGCTTCAATGAATAAACCTTGTGCATGATCTCTAATCACACAATGCTGAGACATACTCTGACACACATTTAGAGACAAAACTGAAACAAACAAATACATACACTGATACACACACACACACACACAAACACACACACATACATACACTAACAGACACATAGATACATACACTTACATACACACACACACAGATACATACAGTAACAGACACACAGATACATAAACTGACACACACAGATACATATACTGACAGACACCAGACACATACACTAGGAGTTCACTAGTTCATTTATAAAAAAAAATGCTGATTTCTCATAGAAAAATATGAAATGTATTATAAACTTGGTTTAAACTAGGATACTTCTCACCCATAAAGCACTTAGCAAGCTGAGGTGCTTTTGGGTTGTTGAGGCGTCCTTTAACTCCTAAATTGCAGTGACCTAAGCAGTGGTACTGCAGGGGCATGATCTATGCACCAAAATGGCTTCATTAAGCTAAAGTTCTTTTGGTGCTTAGAGTGTCCCTTTAACCCCTAAAGGACCAAACTTCAGGAATAAAAGGGAATCATGACATGTCACACATGTCTTGTGTCCTTAAGGGGTTAAAGCAACAATTGGTATTTTTAAATAGTTATGAGTGTTTGCTCACATTGACTTTAAAGATCAGATTGCATCACTCTGTATACCATTCTAGTGTATTTTAAATCACGGAAACCGTTAAGCTCATTTATCACCCAAAAATAAAATGAAACTTCAAATGTATAAAGGAAGATTATGCAAAAAAAAAAAAAAAGTAATTGGATTTTTTTCTTATTACTTATTCAAGAAAATCCCAGAGAGAATGTAGTTATTTTAAATCAATCCCAACATTTTACAGTTACATAAATGGTTTTTTTTCCTGAAGCTTTGTCTTGCAAGACTTAATCCAAATATTTATACCAGCAGTATTAGTAGAAATAACACAATAGACATAGTTTTATTTATATCATATATTTTCTCAATATCGTAACATAAAGTTGCATACTCATATATTCTTATAATATTGGGTGTTTTAAAAAAAAAAAAATTTTTTTTTTGTTCTAGAATTGTTGACATAACGTAGCGGTACAAACGATGTACAGTACAGTGTGGAATTTAGATTATTTTTAAACATCCACAAAGGATTATTTGATAGATTATTGTCTTTCTTAGTAATGAAAACAAATGTTTCATATGAATTTCATTATAAGATTGAAGATTATGTGATTAAATATTCTCTTCTTCTGACTTATCCTTATTCTTGACCTCTTTTTTTTAAAAAAAATGGAAAAACCAGCAGGACAGTGGACCTTTTCCTTCAATAAAAACAACTCTTTATGGGGTAAATATATCAAGCCATAGGGCAAAATAATTTGATTTCACAAATATAATTATTTCAAAACATATATAACTATTTTTCATTAATTATTTTGCTTGTGTAGAAAATATATCTTCTTTTGAGTATCACTTTAAGAAGATTAAAGGGACACTAAGCACCAAAACCACTACAATTCATTGTAGTAGTTATACAGCTAGGAAGTTATCGGTGAAGTCAAACTGTTTCCAGCTTCCCACCTATACTCTTATCCTGTGCTTCTGGCAAAATAATAATTAATATCTCCTCTACATTATCTATAGAAATATTTGAATGGGGTGAACATACTATGCAATAATAGATTGCGAGCAGTGGGATATAGGAAAATAGCTGTCCACTAACTGGGACTTCACCCTCATGGATAGCCTTCTAGCACTGTAAACTCTAGAATAAGCTGTAGTGGTTCTGGTGCATCAAGTGTCCCTTTAAAAGCGATGGCTGGACGTAACATCTTACAAAATAAAAGAAAACAAAAAAGTGGAAAACAGCATGTGGAAATTTTAGCAAGAAATTGTGTTCCTGTAATTATTCTATAAATAGAGCGTCATTTGCATAACATCTTGATTAAATTCTGAGAGCAGAGCAGAAAGGTTACTTATTTTATTATCGGACCAGAAGCAATACGTTAGTGAGTCTGCAGAATCAGTCGTTTTGTTAACTGCCGTCATGGATTCATGTCACAGTATCTATTCCACAATACAATTTATTAAAATAATCTTAAATAATCTTAACCTATTATTTTGGGAATTATTATTGCATTGCCAAAAGCTTAAATAACGAAAAAGGCAAAAGACGATGCATTGCCAGTCAAATGATACAATCTAAATGATGGTAACAGTATATCAGATGAAACATTAGTTTGGACCAGGAGCACAGAGTAATCAGTTAAGAAAGCCAAGTGAAAATGGTTCAATAAAGCACTCTACACAGCTCTATCATAGAGGTAAACCATGCAAGGTTATTAAATGGAAAAGGTTGCTGGCTATATATAGCCCTTCTCCAGGGCTAGCCTCTGATCAGCTATAAGAGATTCTTAAAAACTAGGAAAAAGAATCTGTAACATCGTAAGACAAAAAAATATACCACAGCGTTACTTACTAAAGTCTGAAAGTCTCTGTAACATTCGGACTGCATAATCTGGACATTGTTTATGGAATTCAACAAAGCTCGAATTATGTAAATCAGACCGTGAATGAGTCTGAATTTGGTCTGAATTTCAGGCTTAACGAATGCAGCCAGATGGCTGATATTCGGCCCAAATGAATTAAATCCGGACCAAGTGAATTTGCAAGTGTGCATCTTGTTGGATGCATTCTGTTTAACTTTGGCCTACATGCGATCTTTGATAAATCTCTGATTACATAGTTACATAGGCTGAAAAGAGACATGCGCCCATCAAGTTCAACCTTTCTCACATATGTTTTTGCTGTTGATCCAAAAGATGGCAAAAAACCCAGCCTGAAGCACTTCCAGTTTTGCAACAAACTAGGAAAAAATTCCTTCTTCACCACAAAATGGCAGTCAGATTTATCCTTGGATCAAGCAGCGATTACCCCACTAATTAGAAATCATCTACTTGCCGCTGCGAGGCTTATTTTCCTGTCCGGTCGCACCTCCCACGCCTACACGCTCTGTCAGTCCCTGCATTGGCTTCCAGTTAGATATAGGGCCCAATTCAAAATTCTGGTGCTTGCTTACAAATCCCTACATAATGCTGCTCCAACATACCTATCCTCCCTCATACACAAGTATGTCCCGTCGAGACCCCTGCGCTCAGCCCAAGACCTACGCCTATCCTCTGCCCGGATCCCCACCTCTGATGCTCGCCTTCAAGACTTCTCCAGGGCTGCACCTATTCTGTGGAACTCCCTTCCCTCCTCAATCAGACTTTCACCCAGCCTCCACTCCTTCAAAAAATCTTTGAAAACTCACTTCTTCGTTAAAGCGTATCAATTAAACTGTCAGCAGGTTTCTCATCCCCCACCCCATGACTCCGTTCCTGCACCTGTCAAAAATGACGTACCAAGTACTCAATAAACTCTTATAAAACAAACTATTTAATTCCCATACTTTAACCCTTTGTGCCACTATACCCCACTCCCTCTAGCATGTAAGCTCATCGAGCAGGGTCCTCAACCCCCTCTGTTCCTGTACGTCAGTGGTCTGATCTCAATGATGTGTCTGTTAGTCCACCCATTGTACAGCGCTACGGAATTTGTTGGCGCTATATAAATAATAAAATAATAATAATAATAATAATAATAATAATAACCCCTTAAGGACCGAGGACGGTTCAGGACCGGCATCGAAATTTTCCCATTGCCGACCGCTGACGGTCCTGAACCGTCCTAACGGTCCTAGTTACTTACCTGATCGCCGTCGTTCCCCCGGCGGCGATCGGCGTTGCTCCCGGTGTGGGGAGACTGCCTGCAGCCCAGACAGTCTCCCCACACTGGATTAGGACCCCTGTGGCCATGTGATCGCTTAACACAGCGATCACATGGTCACAATAGGTGTCCTAGTGTCTGCCTGCAGGGGGACTGCCTGTACTGACAGGCAGTCTCCCTGCTAGTGTAAAATCATTAAAAAAAAATAAAGTTATATATGTCTATATATCATATATATAATGTCATACTAAGTGTATTTTTATATTAATATGTACTTATATTAATATAAAAATACACTTATAATTAAATTACACACGTATATATATATATAATATATATAATAACTATATATATTGTATATATATTATTATAAAATATAAATAATAAGTAATTTAAATTAAATAAAAAATTTCTAAAATAATAATAAAAATTGAAAAAAATATATATATCTATATGAAATTTTATTATAACTGTATTTTAAAATTAATATATATATATATTTATATCAAAATACACTTAGAATGAATTTGTATATATATATCTATGTATATATAAATAAATAAAAATAATGCGAAATATACATATGTCCATATACAAAATTACATAAATAATTATATAAATATACACGTAGACTTCAAATATATAAATATGCATATATATTTAAATTCTACGTGTGTATTTATGTAATATTTTTACATAATTAAGTAATTTTATTGATTGCAATTTGAGGGACCTGCCTGCCAACACAGGCCAAAAGTCCAGAGAATTTAATTTGCTAGCACTGTATTTTACCCTGTAACGTTCTTCGACACCCTAAAACCTGTACATGGGGGGTAC